TGGGCCTTTGGCTCTTCCCCAGGGTCCCTTTAAGGGAGACAGCTCCTGGAAGTGGGACACAGCTGTGTCCCTCCCACCAGCCCTGCTCCGGTCCCTGTGGCCGTGGGCGCTGGTGGAGCTGCCCAGCTCAGTGTGGGCTCTGGGGATGGCACTGGGATGGGCTTTGGGCCTCAGCACAGCAGAGTCCGGCCCTGTTACCCAGGGCTTCAGGCTCTGCTGAACTCACTGGAATCATCTGGAAACCTGGAGTCAGGGGGGTTTGGCTGAGGGACAAGAACTCCATATGGGAAGAGGATGAAGTCCCGTCTGACCCTTTCATTAGGATTTCCAGCACTGATCTCACCCGGCTCTATGTCTGTAGCTGACCCAGAGCAGTTTTCCTGGCCGTGCCCATTCCCTGAGCTGGAGCTGGATGTGATGCCATGGCTGCATCCAGCAGGTTCCCCGGGGGCTGTGGCAGCCCCACTGATGCTCTCCTTGTGCCCCGCAGGAAGGAGCTGGACAGACACGTGTTCCGGATGCAGAAGCACACGCGGGGCAGCAGGGGCACCTGGGACAAGGTCCAGAAGAAGTCGGTAATGCTGCTTCCCTCCAGTGCCACCTCAGCCAGGGACCTGCAGGAGACACATCCCCGGGATGGAGAGCGGGAACCCTCCCCAGCTTCCTCCCAAACCCTGGGGTTTGGTCTCTACTGCTGTGGGGAAAAGTCCCTTTTGTTAGAAAGGAGCTGCTTATTGTCAGGATTAAAGCCACAGCTTTGGGTCGGGATTTGTAAGTGCTTTGGAATTCTGGGGTCTTTAGGTTCCTGTAACATTGTTCTGAACAGTGGGAAAAGAGCAGCCATGGGATGTCCAGAGCTGGAAGGGACCCTCAGGGATCACGGAGCTTGACTCCTAATCATGACCATAGCAATGGTCACCTTGTATCCTACTCCCTCAATTTAGGTATTGATTCCTCCACTAGCCCAGGTTTTGCAGTTCCAGGCTTTTCCATGAAAAGCCACGATCCCAGGAGCAGAAATGTGGCTTGTGCCCCTGGTTCAGAGGGAGCAGTTGTGGCAGCTGAGCAGTTCAAATTTTGGGAAGATGTAGCACAGGGCTGGTGTGGGTCCATCCCAGCAGGACCCCGAGCTGAGCCCGTGTCCTTCCCTCCTTCCCTCTCTCCCCCAGGCTGGAGCCGTGCTGGGGACACCTTCCCGCAGGGCCAAGGTCAGCTTGGAGACCAGTGAGTATTCCTGCTTCCTCCTCCTGCATTCCCAGCTCCTTCCACGTCCCCACCTTGCTGGGTGCCCTCGATCTCAGCTGTCTGGGTGTCCTCCCCCTGCCCTTCCCCCTCAGACACACCCATGATCCCTGTTTTCCATTGCAGATGTGGCAAAGGACTCTCTGGTGGGGAAGCTCTTCAGGGCTCAGACACCAAACTCCTCAGAGGAGGAAGAGGAAGACCAGGATTCCTATTTCTCCATGTGATGAATTTTGTGGATCTGTTGGCTCAGCACTTGGGTGCCTCATTCCGAGTCTGTGGTTCAGCCGCCCCTCCGGGAGGGAAGGGCTGGAATTGCAAGATCAATTTGGAAAATCTTCCCCGATCTGGTTTTTATGCATTTTAACCCCATTCCCATCTTGCTGGCACTGTTTGGCTTTTCCATGTGTACATAGTGGCCCTTCCTTGCCCAGCTCCTCCTCTCCTGTTTCTCTTCCTGTTGCCTTTTTCTCCTGGGAAGGAGAAAGGTACAGGGGTGCCAATGACTGGCAAAGTCATTTTAAGATAAAATATCTCTTGGGATATGAATGTACAATAAATTCAGGTAAAATCTGGAAGTAACTGAAACTGCTTTTTACTGTCCCTGAGGGAGAATCTGAATTTTTACATTTCCTTAATGTAATAAACAAGGATGAACTTATTTTACTCGTGGCTCCGTTGGACTTTGTGGAGCAGCAGAATCCATGACCTGTCCAGCTTGGGATGGGGCCTCAAGGCTTCATCCCCTTGGTTTTGAATCATGGACTCAGGGAATGGTTTGGGTTGGAAGGGCCTTAAAGCCCATCCAGTGCCACCCCTGCCATGGGCAGGGACACCTTCCACCAGCCCAGGCTGCTCCAACCTGGCCTTGGACACTTCCAGGGATCCAGGGGCAGCCACAGCTTCTCTGGGCAACCTGTGCCAGGGCCTCCCCACCCTCCCAGCCAGGAATTCCTTCCCAATATCCCATGTAACCCTGCCCTCTGGCAGTGGGAAGCTGTTCCAGGAAAGTGGAACTCCCTGCAAAGAGCTGTGAGCGGGAAGGGATGGGAATGAAGATCGCGGTCCTTTTCCAGGCAGCCACAGTGTGGCAGCAGAGGCCGCGCGGGCGGTGCCGGGGAAGGATCCCCGAGCTCCTGCAGCCGGGGCAGAGGGAGCAGGACGGGAACGTGAGGCCCCCCAGGACCAGGGGACCTGCCCCGGGCCCCCCCAGCAGCGCCCCGGTGTCCCGGGCACAAGGAACACCGGGCAATTCCCTTTCTTCCCAGGAAACGCGGGGCTCAGTGCTGCAGCCAAGGGCAGGAGCTGCCGGGGGGCTCCTTCCCGTGACCCCCCAAAGCTTTGCTTTGCCGAAGCACCGGAGCCATCGGGTTTTGCAAAGGAATCTCGGGATGCTCCCAGCCCGGCCGGTGCCTCCCAAGCCCGGTGCTTGTGAGGGTTTATTGGGTTGGACACCAATCCCAGTAAAGTGCAGAGCAGGGCCCCCAGTCCCCTCAGCTCCGGGAGGCCGCGGGGCCCTTCCCGCCGGCGCGGGGGGGCTGTGGCAGCAGCTGAGGGTCGAAGCTGTGGCGCAGGTACCGCTGGATCTCCTCGGCACAGTCCCGGCTCAGCCGCGCGGCCGCGGCCACCGCGCTGGGGGAGCTGCAAGAGAGGGCAGGGGGTGAGCAGGGCCCTGGACACACTGGATACAGCACCGGGAACACCCCGGGCTGCCCCGAGCACACCCCGGCAAGGCTGGGGAAGTGCAGGGAAAACAGGGAACGGGAAAGGGAAAGACGCGGTGGGGCGGCAGGAGGGAGGGTGAAGCAGAGTCCGTGTCAGTGCCCGGGGCTGCTCAGTGGGAGAGACGGGAAGGCATGAAGAGCAGGGATGAGACTGGACAGGAAGGCTCCTGGGAGCCTTGGCAGGTTCAGAAGAGATCTCTCCCAGCAGGAAAGGCACAGCAGGAAGGATCTCCCTGAACAGCTATCCCAGTAGGAAAGGTGTGGGGAAAGATCTCCCCAGTTACTACAGCTGGAAAGGTGCAGGAAGGATGGCCCTGGGAATCGACCCCAGCAGGAAAGGTGATGAAAGGAATCCTGTGAGCAGGTCCCCCAGCAGGAATGGGGCAGGCAGGCTCTGTCCCCCAGGAATGGGGCAGGCAGGCTCTGTCCCCCAGGAATGGGGCAGGCAGGCTCTGTCCCCCAGGAATGGGGCAGGCAGGCTCTGTCCCCCAGGAATGGGCAGGCAGGCTCTATCCCCCCAGAAGGTGCAGGCAGGCTCTGTCCCCCCAGAAGGTGCAGGCAGGCTCTATCCCCCCAGGAATGGGCAGGCAGGCAGGCTCTATCCCCCCAGAAGGTGCAGGCAGGCTCTGTCCCCCCAGAAGCTGCAGGCAGGCTCTGTCCCCCCAGAAGCTGCAGGCAGGCTCTCCCAGGCAGGCCCAGGCAGCCCCGGGGTGTTGTTACCTGTTGGCCAGGTCACGGGGGCAGCCGAGGCAGTGGCAGAGCTGCAGGGCCCCCACGTAGCTGAGGGGGGGGATGCTCAGGTAGAAGCCCAGCAGGTCCCGCCGGGGCCCCTCCAGCTCCGTGGGAACATCGATGGCAGCTCCCTTCCTGTGCTCCAGCAGGGCCAGGTCCCTGAGCAGAACAGCAGTGTCCTGCTGGCAGGAGCTGAAGAGGAGGCGGATGCCAGCCTGGACCAGGGCCGAGAGCACTCCATCGTAGTACTGAGTCCGCTGGAAACTACGGGACGTTTCTCCTGCAGAGGGAAGGACAGGAAGCACGGTGAAAATCCAGTGTGAGGACTCACACAGCAAACCAGCTCCAGGATCCCTCACCCTGAGAACTCACAACCAGACACACAGCAAGGGAACACATCCCGGGCTGGACAGAGCTTGGAGCAACCTGGGATAGTGGGAGGTGTCCCTGCCCATGGCAGGGGGTGGAACAAGAGGAGTTTTAAAGTCCCTTCCAACCAAACCATTCTGGGATTCCATGAAATCAGGAGAGGTTTGGTAGAGCCACACAAGTACAAATGCACCTGAACACTGTTCCATGAGGGACCAGCAGCACCCTGGAATTGGTGTCATGAGAAAAACTGGACAAAGAGGATGGAAACGAGTGACACCCTCAACAGTGGGATAAAGAAGCAGCTCCAACTCAGCCCACTTCCTACAGCCCCCTCAGAGCAGCTGCATCTCCAGGGACCAATTCTAGCAGTGTTCCCATATGGGAACTATCAACAAGTGAGATCTGCCATGAAACCAAAGCTGCACCCTCAACAACTGGATTGCAGTGGTGCAGTTTCATAGCCCAGAACATCTGTAATGGAATCAGGATCTGAGCTCCAGTTCTTCTGCGGAGCAGGTGCAGCAAGAGCTCTCAGTTACTGTCTAGATGGCCCTGGAACAGACAGGGGAACCATCTGACTGTGTCATTTGGGTTAGAACAAAGGTCTCTGCATGGATAAGATTGTTGCTTGTTCCTTTATCATATGATCCCAGACTGGTCTAGGTGGGAAGGGACCTTAAAGCCCAGCCCATCCCATCCCCTGCCATGGGCACCTTCCACTGGCCCAAGTTGCTCCAACCTGGCCTTGGACACTTCCAGGGATCCAGGGGCAGCCACAGCTTCTCTGGGCAACCTGGGCCAGAGCCTCCCCACCCTCCCAGCCAGCAATTCCTTCCCAATATCCCATCTACTCCTCTGTTCTGGCAGTGGGAAGCCATTCCCTTGTGCTGCCCCCTGGGAACACCCACCTGGTTTGGCCCTGTCTGTCTCCAGGATCACACAGACCCTCTGGAACAGGCCCTGCAGGCGCTGCAGCCTCTGGCTCAGTCTGTTCCTGTTCCCAGGGCCCTGCAATTCCGACTGGAAGGTCCTTTCCACGGCCAGGCGGGTGCTGACAATGTAGTCGGAGGTGCCCAGGGAACAGACCTGCACGTGGAGCCCGTGCACAGCCCGCAGGGAGGAGATCACCTCTGCCCCACAGCTGATCTCCCTGCTGTCTGCCAGGATGCTCAGGGAAGGGCCCTTCCCCGGAGGGTCCCGGGAGAGCCTGGCTGAGGCCGAGGAGGGCTCTGTGGCTGCGGGACACGCTGGATCTGAGGCGCTCCCACGGGGGTTCTTCCCAGAGCTCTTCACCTGTGAGGGCTGGAGATCACACAGGGACTGTAACAGACCATGCAGGAGTTCAGTCAAATTAATAAAAGGATGCTTTGCAATATTAACACTTTCAGACTGACACTTCAATCCCCTGTATCCCTCTCCCAAATGAGCTGATCTGATTATCCAGGAGTCAGAATGACAAAAGCAGCAGCTTTCACCAATGATTTGAGCAGAAGCTGGACCATGTACAGGACAGAAGTCAGGCTGGGAAGTGTGAGAGATGAGGAATCCAACCTCAGGCTGGAGGGAGTTAACTGAGGATGGTGAACAAGCATTTTATAAGCACAAACCCCACAGAATGGGTGGACACTGCTGTTCCACACGGATCCATGCTCCTCCATGGCTGTCAGTCCCAAGAGACCATCTAATCCCCAGTTTTTATTTACTGACTGCTGAGATACTTCAGGATACCCTGGGAGCACAAAAGCTGCAACAGCAAAGGGAAGGGAGATGGTGTGAAGCAGCACCAGGAATGGCTCTGCTCCTGTGTCACCACAAGCTGTGGCTGCCCCTGGATGCCTGGAAGTGTCCAAGGCCAGGTTGGAGCAACCTGGGTTGGTGGAAGGTGTCCCTGCCCATGGCAGGGGCTGGAATGAGATGGTTTTAAGGTCCTTTCCCACCCAAACCATTCCAGGTTTCCCTGACTCCTGCTGCTGTGCTTTGACAGGCCCCAGAACAGCCCTGCCCCAGGAATCCCTTCCCAGCACGTGGGGTGAGAGGAAGGTCCCTGCTGCGACTGGACACTGACCTCAGTGGGAGCCGGGACAGAGCCAGGGACAGGTGGTGGGAAGGACGTGCTCCTGCTGGGATGGTCTGGGTGCAAATCCAGCCTCTCAGAGTCCGAAGCCTGCAGGCCAAGCAGCATGTCCCTGTCGTGCCCCCCAGGCCGAGGGGCTGGCACTGCCCCAGCACTGTGGCTGTGCCGTGCAGGGGGCACCGAGGGCTGGGGACACTCTGTGCTCCCCTGTCCTGCCCTGGAACAGCCTGCTGTCATGGACTGCTCCCTGCTGACAGCCATCTCCTCCTCGCTGGAGTCACTGAGCACAACGATCCGGGATGGTTTCCTCCTGTGCCCTGGGGCAGGCGGGCTCTGCTCCAGCCTGGCCTGGTTCAGTCTCCTCCTGTGCCGGGTCAGGTACCGGCCCTGGGCACCGGGGACACTGTCCCTGGTGAGGAGACCCCAGTTCACACACTCCTCCTCCTCCTCCTCGCTGGGCCCACTCTGTCTGCAGGCTTCCTCCTCCTCATCCCCCACACAGAAACTGTCCTCCACGTACTCCGTGTCCTGCTCGGGAATCTGCGGGGAGAACAATCCCAGTCAGTTGTGGAGCAGTGGAATGATGGTGCTGCTGCTCCCCATGGAGGCACTTGGCTCATCCAACCCTGGTGTAGGGACAGCAGGGGCTGAGGGGCTTCTCACACATGGAATGGTTTGGGTTGGAAGGGACCTTAAAGCCCACCCAGTCCCACCCCCTGCCATGGGCAGGGACACCTTCCACCAGCCCAGGCTGCTCCAACCTGGCCTTGGACACTTCCAGGGATCCAGGGGCAGCCACAGCTTCTCTGGGCAACCTGGGCCAGGGCCCCACCACCCTCCCACCCAGCAATTCCTTCCCAATATCCCATCTCTCCCTGCCCCCTGGCCAGTGGGAAGCCATTCCCTGTGTCCTGTCCCTCCATCCCTTGTCCCCAGTCCCTCTCCAGCTCTCCTGGAGTCCCCTTAGGCCCTGGGAGGGGCTCTCAGCTCTCCCTGGAGCCTTCTCTTCTCCAGGCTGAAGTCTTGTGTTAGAATTTACTATTTACCAGAAAATGCCAACTACACCTCAGAGCAGGACTGGAACCTACCCGTGGTCCCACCCCAGGGGAATTCCCAAGGACAGAGGTCACTGCACACCTGTGAGAAGATGGCCGAGCTGTTGAACTCCCGATGGACCATCCTGTACCTGCTGCCCAGGGCGGGGCTGCGCACGGACTCCAGGTACACTGCCCTCATCTCCGTGTCTGACCCGCAGGAACAGCAAAGGGAACAGTGTTACTGCACACACAACCCTCCACTCACTCTTGTTACACTGTGTTTTCCATATTCAGTCATTCCTTTATAGAATCCCAAAAACCTGCAAAAATCTGCGATTCTCCAGCCACCTCTGGAAATCCCAAAGCACAACCCAAGGGCTCTGAGATGAAGGAGGGCAGGGACAGATGGGATATTGGGAAGGAATTCCTGGCTGGGAGTGGGGGGAGGCCCTGGAATAGAATTCCCAGAGAAGCTGTGGCTGCCCCTGGATCCCTGGGAGTGTCCAAGGCCAGGTTGGAGCAGCCTGGGCTGGTGGAAGGTGTCCCTGCCCATGGCAGGGGGTGGCACTGGGTGGGCTTTACAGTCCCTTCCCCCTCAAACCATTCTGGGATTCTAAATGTCCCCATCTTGCTGTCATGAAAGCTGCCATGGAATCCCAGGATATCCTGAGCTGGAAGGGACCCACCAGGATCACCCAGTCCAACCCCTGTCCCTGCACAGGACACCCCAACAATCCCCCCCTGTGCTCCAGAGGATCATCCAAACCCTCCTGGAGCTCTGGCAGCCTTGGGGCCGTGCCCACTGCCCTGGGGAGCCTGGGCAGTGCCAACCACCCATTGGGGGAAGAACCTTGTCCTGAGATCCAACCTGACCCTCCCTGGCACAGCTCCAGCAGCTCCTCAGGCTGCAGAAGGTTTGCCCAGCTGGCAGAGCTCTGGGTGCCATGGCAGGAGCAGCCCCTCAACCCAGGTGAGGGGGTCGCTGCTCACTTCCCCCTGGCCATGCCCATCCCACCCCATCCATCCCCCAAGGATGTGGAGTCCCACAGAGCCCCTCCCTCACCATTCAGGGCCTGTGTGACGTCCCCCTCGTCGTTGAGGAACTGGGCCATGGAGGAGCTCAGCTCGTCCTCGGTGCCGTCGCTCTCGTCCGACGACAGCCCGTGTGCCCCGTGCTGGGACAGCTCTGCCTCCTCCTCCAGGAACTGCCTGGCTGTGGCCTGGGAAAACAGGGGGCCTTGCAGGGGGTTCTGATGCACTAATGCTGCCCCGAGACCCCCGAGTCACTGCAGGCCAGCAGCTGGGTCACCATGGGCACCGGGCTCCTGGCTTGGGCAGGAGAATCCTGTGGCCTGTGTGCCCCTGGACAGGGAACAGCCCAGGCAGAGCCACCAACACGGGGGGCTGAGCTGCCTGACACCATCCAGGGGCTTTGCAGCTCATACACCCAGTGTGACTTTATTTGCTGTCAAAAACCTGGGTTCCTTTTGAAGGGATGGATTCCCCCAAACCCAAATCAGTGGGAACTTCAGAGCCCGACCCCACCTGGGTTTGCCCTTTTCTGCTCAGGTGCCAGTTCCTTAAAGGATTGACTGGCTCCAGTGCCAGGGGCTGCTCTGGTCAGTCTGTGATGATCTCACTGCAGATCTCTCCTGACAGGGCTCCCTGACTGATAGTGGACTGGTCACAGTGGTTTTAATGCCTGAGATCTCCTGTGGATCTGGAATTCTGGCCTGTCCATCACTATGGATACTTAGGTAAGGTCAGTGTGAAGGCACAGCAGAATTTCCTAAGCAGACACACTCTTTTTCTATGATCCTTTTGGTCCCACCTTAAAAAAAATGTTTAAATCAAACTGAAAAATGGATTTTAATCCCCCTCATTCTTTGTATCCCAGAATATAAAACACTGATACCATAGGGAAGGCTTGATTATAAAGATTATCTTTCAAACATCAAAAATATCCAGTGTATTGTGCCCTGGAGCCCTGATTATGGCAATTGCTGCCCAGTGGAACCACAGCCACAAATATTTAAGAGCTCTTTACTTAGGATGATTCTTGGCCCTGCTTTCTCTCCTGCTGCAGTGATGGACTAAAGTATCAAATACTGAACTAAGATTTAAGATTTGGGGTAGAGGGACCATTGCTGCCTTAAATGTTCAAAGCTGAAGCCTTCAGAGTAGGGGGTAAATTCATATGATCAAGTATCCCAATGGAAATAATAATAATAATAATATTAATTTCTGGGCAAGACCCTGAGCTCCCAGAGATGACTAACCCTTGAATATTTCTGAAGATTGTAAAATGGACATTGTTATTTGGCTTCAGAACTGTGTCACCAGGGCCCTGCAGACTCTGACAGTCAGGAAGGGATGGCAGGACTCAGATCTTTATCCAGTTCCAAGATTTCAGCTCCAGTGTTTGCAGAGCACTGGTGTGGAACAGCTGAGCCTCAGCCCTCCTGGACAGTGTCCTAACACCACAGACTGCCCAGCCCCGTGCCCACACCCCAACTCCAGTGCCAGCTGCTCCAAACACGACCTTCCATAGCCAGGAGACACGTGGGATCACACACACACCTTGGCTGTGGAACTGCTCCGGAGCCGTTTGGCTCGTCCTGGCCGGGCTTTGTTCTGGGCTGTGGAGCTGCTCCTCATGGTCCTGCTCCAGTTCTGGGCAAAATCCCCACTGTCATCACTGGACTCTGACTGGGAACAGGGAACACAGCCCTCAGAGAGTCAGGGGAAAGCAAGGAATGTTTAATTACAGTCATAAATCCCAGACTGGTTCGGGTTGGAAGGACCATAAAGCCCATCCAGTGCCACCCCTGCCGTGGGCAGGGACACCTTCCACCAGCCCAGGTTGCTCCAACCTGGCCTTGGACACTTCCAGGGATCCAGGGGCAGCCACAGCTTCTTTGGGCAACCTGGGTCAGGGCCTCCCCACCCTCCCAGCCAGCAATTCCTTCCCAATCTCCCATCTCTCCCTGCTCTCTGCCAGTGGGAAGCCATTCCCTGTGTCCTGTCCTTCCATCCCTTGTCCCCAGTCCCTCTCCAGCTCTCCTGGAGCCCCTTTAGGCCCTGCAAGGGGCTCTCAGCTCTCCCTGGAGCCTTCTCTCCTCCAGGGGAACCCCCCCAGCTCTCCCAGCCTGGCTCCAGAGCAGAGGGGCTCCAGCCCTGGGATAACTCAGTCATCCTTCAACATTTGCTTTTTAAGGAACACCTGATTTCCTGTGGTTGATATTTTGGGGCTTGGAGCAGCCTGGGCCCATGGCAGGGGTGGCACTGGATGGGCATTAAGGTCCCTTCCAACCCAAACCCTTCTGGGATTCTGTGATCTTTGGAGACCTGGGGGAAGAACTGAAGCAGGGAAGCAAGGATGAGTTCCCATTATCTCCCCCATTTCCCAAGGCACTCACTGACCATGTCCAGGGGGTGCCGACGTTTCCTGGGGACGCGAGGCCGTGGGCACTCAAAGTCACTCTCGTCCATCCCCTGTGGGAACAGGAATAACCATCATTGCTCACAGCATTTGTGCTTGGCTGCTTGAATTGCCATTTTGCTTCTCTTGCCTATTTTCTTTTTCTAAGACTCACATCAGGAGACTTCAAAACATTCTTTTTTATCCTGTTTTTTCTCTGGAAAACGATCTCTTCCTCACTCTCACTGCTGGTTCCTGCAGCAAAAAAGAGTAAACAACATTCACTGGGAATTGCACAGTTCACAACACAATATTGCTATAACTGAGCAATCAAAACCTGCCTCTCTCACAAAAGTACCTCCAAAGGAGATTATTTATTGATCCACAGGACAAATATTGTTCTCTTTAGCCTTGTTAATCAAAATAGATAATCTCCAGCTGGGATGTACAATAAATCCTGCTTCCCTGGAGACTCTCAGGGTGGGAGTGATTACCCTGGGCAGCACAGAGATGGAAAAAGGGAGGGGAAACACAAAAACAAGAGAAGAAGCCCTTGAAAGTTGAGCAAGAGTTACCTTTGTGGCAGCATTTTGTGACACAAATCCCTCTGGGTGCATGGAATGGAGCCGAGGAATGGTGTTTGTGAGTCCAGAGGAGGCACAAAGATGCTGCCAGGGCTGGAGCCCCTCTGCTCTGGAGCCAGGCTGGGAGAGCTGGGGGGGTTCCCCTGGAGAAGAGAAGGCTCCAGGGAGAGCTGAGAGCCCCTTGCAGGGCCTAAAGGGGCTCCAGGAGAGCTGGAGAGGGACTGGGGACAAGGGCCTGGAAGGTGTCCCTGCCCAGGGCAGGGGTGGGACACCATGAGATTTGGAGTCCCTTCCATCCCAAACCATTCTGGGATTCTATAAGAGGTCCCAGGCTTGTGCTGCAGTTGCAATCAGAAAATTTTAAATACAAGTCACTTGTCATGTGAGTAAATGGAAAGGAATCCACCAGTAGAGCTCCCATTCCTCAGGAACAGTGACAGGAAAACATGAAGGCAGGGATTCAGGGATCAACAGGTCCAGGGGAGCACCAGTCAGACCCTGAGATTAAGAAAGGGCTTTGAAGGGCTTTGAACTCACACAATCACATCTCCCATGCCTTTAACACTTGTGAGTAGGTTCAGGTTTAATTCCCAGTCCTTCCCTGTGTGTGGGGTGAAGTCTCCTCATCCACCCAATTCCAGTACTGCAGCCATCACTCCTTCTCCTTTCAGCCCTCCCACCTCACTCACAAGACCAAACTGAGGATCCAGAAGACACTGGATCCTGTTGACTAAACATGAAGGTATCCAAACTGTCCCACCAAAACCCCTACCTGCAGCAGGACACGCTCGGGATCCACGGAGGGTGGTGTCTTCCAGGTTTGCAGTTCTTCCTAAAGGGGAATCCACAGCTGAACTCCCAAAGTTCTGCCCACGTGGGCTTTTATGGACTTTATCTCCAGGGGGCACCTCTGGAGTCTCCTCCCTGGCACTGGAGAAGACTTTCCTAGGAATCCTTTTGATAGCTTGGACATTGCCACCCTTCCTGCTTACTGGGGTCGAGAGTGCCGAAGGCAAAGGTTCAGGTGATGCCCTTCCCGTTCTCCTGCCTCCTGATTTCAGGGAAGGCACTGCAGCAGGAGCAGCCTCTGGCCCTTCCCTGTCATTCACACCCCTGCTCTGGAATGACAACGGTGTGGAAACGTCTCTTCTCTCCAGATCTCTGCAATCCCATTCTGGCGAGGTTTCCAGCCTGGACCCATCCCTCAGGAATATCTTTCCATCCTCAGTGGATTTTGCCCCTGCACCATTCCCCGAGGCACCGTTTGCTTTGCTGCTGTTCCCAGTATTCCCGTTTTCCTCGGGGGTTTCACTGTCACTGTCTGTGATGGAAAAGCCCAGGTTGAAGGTGACTGAGAACAGCTCCTGGGAACAGTCGTAGAGATCCTCGTTCTCCAGGCCCTGCTCGGGCACTCCTGCTGTTTCCATGGATTTACTGCTCTGGGGCTGCTCCCTGCAGGTGCTGGTGTTCACACAGGGCCCCTCGGAGGGAACCCCCTTGGATCCTCGCTCTCCATCTGTCCCGACATTCCCACCTGGATCTGGCCTGGCTGGAGGCTCCTTGCTCACGGAGAACCCGCTGTCCCCGGTGTCATCCACAGGCTCATCCTCAAACAAATGGATGCTCTGCTCTCCACCAGCCACCACCTTCTCGTGGTCAGTGGCAGCACCTGCAGTGTCTCTGTGAACAAAGTGCTTGTTGGAAGGGCCGTTTGTCAGGCTGTGGTTTGTGGCTGGAGCGTTCCCTCGGATGGCAGGGAATTCCTTGCTGTCAAACAGCCCATCAAAGCTGTCATTCCAGGCGTGCTCCTCTTCAACAACAGCCTTGGGAGACGAGGCAGTTTTGGACAAACAGGGACTTCTTGGAGCACAGAATTCCCCGGGGATGTTCGGTTTGGGATTTTCCACGAGCAGCAGTGAAGGATCAGCTCCTGAGGACGTGGAGAAGGCACTGTCCCGTGGTCCTGCAGAGTGACCCTCAGGGATAACCTCTGGGACAGGACATATTGTTTGATCACTCCTCACCATGTTCTCCAAGTCCTCGAGTTCATGCCAGGAGGGAATGGGGGGAGGGGACTGTGACAAAAGCCTCTGCACACAGGATAATGTTTGTTCTAGGCCAGGAGGCTCCTGGGAGGGTCTCCCGAGTGACTCCCCGTAGGATTCAGGGAGATAGAACAAGTCTGAGGACAGCGGTGATGTCTCGTACCCTGAATCCCCGGGGAGCATCCCCAGGGATCCAGGAGCTTTGCCTGCAGGTTTGTCTCCCTTTGCTGCTGGACTGTCAGGAATGTCAGTGCTGTCACTGCTGTCACACAGGTCAATAACTGCGTTTAAGTCAAATGTCACCTCCAGCTCCTTGTCCCTCTCACTGCCCTGGTCGGGCTGTTCATCCAGAGCAAACATTCCTGAGGGAGATGCCGAAGGATCCACCTCCACACTGGATCCAGGAATTCTTTTGGGAGGCTTTGGCTTGGTTATTTTAAAGGTGGTGAAGAGCTCACTCTCGTCATCACCTCTGTCAGGCAGGAATGGCTTCATTTGGGATGTGTGTGCCACGCCTTTCCTGGAGGATCGTGCTCTCTGATCCCAGCTGGACTTGGCCATGAGGAGATGCCTTTTATTCCTTGGAATATTTACATCTTCCACACATAAGTGGGGCTGGAGCTCCCGTCCATAGCTGCAGTCTCCCTGGGCCAAATACAGGGCAATATTTACTGGACATACCCCCTCAACACACACGGGCTCCCCAGCACGGGGGGTTCAAACAAGTGCCAAAGGTTTTGTTCTCCTGAAGAAATTCTCACTCACAGACTCTCAACTTCTTTTTTCCCTGTGCTATTAATCCTCTGTTCCAAAGGGAACCAGCTCTTCTAAACACACCCCTGGAAAAAGCACCATGGACTTGGACACCACCCCCAGTGAGGGATCCACACAGGGACTGCCTGGATGCAAAAGTTGGTTATTTACTGCCCTTCTCACCCTCTCTCTTAAATTAAGGTTTCAAAATTAAGGCCTGCAAAGGAGTAGCAAGGGCCCAAAGGGGCTCTGAAGGCAATGGTTTAGAATGTTCCTCCCAAGTTCCAACCTGTTTCACTAATTACAATAAAAATAAGGATGTAAGAGCTAAACAGAAGGAACAATCATTATATTATCATATTTTGGCAGTTCAGTGAGATGAATCCCTGGACTCCTCAAGCCCTGAAATGAAACAAGTCCCTTGGGTGATAAAACTGACTTTTACAATAAGAGATTCCCTGGATTATCTGCCTCCTGACAGTCCCCAAAAGTTCTGTCATATATCACATACATGTGTGTGTGGGTATCCAGATATACACACACATATGTCATATTTATTCCTTGGCAGACCAGGAGAGCCCCAGACTGCACCCCTGACTTCTGAGAAGTGTTCATTCCAAAACAGTGAAGAAAAGAACTGCTGTGAAAGGGTTAAAGGAACATTTTGATACGGCAGGTTCTAAATAATTCGTTCCCTCAAGCTCAGTCAGAACACAGACTCAAGGTCTGGAATTCTCTGTGTGAAATCCCAGAAGGTAACGGGGTTGGTAATGGTGTGGGCACACTGAGCTGAGGACACCTCCAGCCCTGAGGCATCACACAAACCAGACCTGCACTACAGGGATCAAGGATTAATGAGCTGCCAAACCACTAAAAATCAGGGAAGGAGGAGTAGGTGCTGCTCCTGCCCCCCCCCACACTCCCGACAGTGCCCAACACATCAGCCTTGGCCTTAGATTGTTCTGCAACACAAAACGAGTCAAACTGCAAACCCCAAACCTACAAACCCAAAACTAGTCAAAGGACAGACCACAAACCTACAAACCCCAAACCTATAAATAAAAAACTAATCGAAGTACAAACCCCAAACCTACAAACCCAAAACTAATCAAACTACAGACCCCAAACCTACAAACCTATAAACCCAAAATTAACCCAATTACAAACCAGCAAACCTTCAAACCCAAAACTAACCCAACCACAAACCCCAAATCTACAAACCCCAAACTAATCAAAGTATAGACCCGAAATCTATAAACCCAAAACTAATCAAAGTACAGACCCAGACCTATAAACCCAAAACCAATCAAACTTCAAATCCCAAACCTATAAACCCCAAACTAATCAAACTCCAAACCCCAAACCTACAAACGCCAAACCTATAAACCCAAACCAAACCCAACTACAAATGCCAAACCTATAAACCCCAAACTAATCAAACTGCAAACCCCAAACCTAAAACCTCCAAACCTATCAAACTACAAACCCTGAACCTACAAACCAAAACCAAACCCAGTTACAAACCCTAAACCTACAAACCTGAACCCAGTCAAACTACAAGCCCCAAACCTACAAACCCCAAACTAATCAAGTTTCCCAGAGAAGCTGTGGCTGCCCCTGGATCCCTGGAAGTGTCCAAGGCCAGGTTGGAGCAGCCTGGGCTGGTGGAAGGTGTCCCTGCCCATGGCAGGGGTGGCACTGGATGGGCTTTGAGGTCCTTCCATCCCAACCCAGTCTGGACTGTGGGATTCTCACACAGCAGGAGGGAGCAGTGAGGGGTGACCACACTGAGAACCCCTCAGCCCCTGCACAGCCCATGGCCGTGTCCTGCCTTGGCACACCCAACTCCTGGAGCCTGGCAGTGCCATGGCCAAATTTAGCATGTAGGGCAGAGCTGAGTGCCCTGACTGCAGCTGACACAGCCTTATGTAACTGCTCCACTTCCAGGAGCATTCCAAGCGCTGCCTCCCAAGGGAGCGCCGTGCCAGCCAGTGCTGCTGCAGGGAAAGGGCACACTGGGAATGACCACACTGGAGCCCCCACGGGCACGGGGGTGGGACCTTAAATCACCTGCTCAGCCCCCCGGGCAGCCTGGCAGCTCCAGGGTGTACCAGCCACGCTGCAAATAGGTCAGGCAGGAGCAGCAAAACATCTGAGATTATTGGGCTAAATCGATGGCCCCGAGTCAGGTTAACAAGCAAGGCAGGTTTTAATAGAGAAAATAAAAAGGGGAAAAAAAACTTTAGTAGAAATGTTTCATGTTTGAGATAGAAATCTATGTGTGATTACACACGTCCTGTTTCCCAGCACTCAAATGTAAGGCAGCGACTCCCAAACCTGAAGTTCCCCTCTCTGTCCCCATAAGCTGCTCTGGGTGGACATTTGCTAACTCAGTTCCCTGCCAAGACCCTGGGGTTTTGGTATTTGGAAATTAAAAGATAAGTCTGGGGGCAGATACAATGCAGGTTTGAACAACTAAAACTTCTTTAGTGGAGAGCTGGAGGGAAACCATCTGGGGTTTCCACCCCTTGGTGTGTTCTGGGCAAGCATCTGCTGCAGCTCAAACACCCCCACCCCATTCCCAAAACCAGGTTTTAAGGGAATCCTGGAACTCCAGTGGAAGGTGTCCCTGCCCAAGGAACTTGGAGGTCCCTTCCATCCAAACGAGTCCATGATTCCATGAATTCTTTATGATCAGCCTGCACTCCCTTCCCCACAAGTCCTGTTTTCCCGCTGTCCCAGTGCTCCCTGGTCCAGCCCCATCACATCCAGGTTGGACAGTTTGGTGCCCTGGGATTCACCTCCCCCACAACAGGCCAGCAGTTATTTACACCTGCCAGGAGCTGCTTAATGAGCACAATAATCAATCCCTGCTCCAGCATTGCTTCATTTCCACAAGACACTCCAGGGGAAGAAACGCTGTCAAAAGCTGTTTTTTGGAAGTTTAAGTACATTACATGAGATGATCTTTAAAAATATATTTAGCTGAGTCATGGAAGAAGCCTGAGGGGCACAGAACCCCCAGTTTCCTTCCACGAAAGCTGGGATAATTCTCCTCCTGATGGTATCACATCATTGATGTATCTACTAATTCTGTTGCTCTTTGCTTTCAGCTACACAATAAAAACACTCAAAGATCCGTAAAAGAAAAATTATTAGCAAAATACAGGGTATGTACCCCGCAAATAGGGGAACAGGCATCACTGAAGCAAGAGTGAATGTTCCAGCACATCAGGAAATAAATGAGGTCGCCCAGAGAAGCTGTGGCTGCCCCTGGATCCCTGGAAGTGTCCAAGGCCAGGCTGGAGCAACCTGGGCTGGTGGAAGGTGTCCCTGCCCGTGGCAGGGGTGGCACTGGATGGGCTTTGAGGTCCCTTCCCACCCAAACTATTCCAGGATTCCACTCCCTGGGCTGACAGTGCTGCCAGGTCAATACTAAAACCATCAGGAGAACAGGAATATCCAGGCAGGGGCAGTTCAATTTTCTATATAAATGTGATTATCATCATGGAATCATGGACAGTTTGGGTGGCAAGGGACCTCAGAGCCCATCCAGTGCCACTCCTCACCACGGGCAGGGACACCTTCCACCAGCCCAGGCTGCTCCAACCTGGCCTTGGACACTTCCAGGGATCCAGGGGCAGCCACAGCTTCTCTGGGCAACCTGGGCCAGGGCCTCCCCACCCTCCCAGACAGCAATTCCTTCCCAAGATCCCACCTATCCCTGCCCTCTGGCAGTGGGAAGCCATTCCCTGTGTCCTGTCCCTCCATCCCTTGTCCAAAGTCCCTCTCCCTGTCAAAACATAAATACTCTTCCCAAAGCCATTTGTTTTACAGCAGCTCCTGCCAGAGTCCCAGGCCTGTCCTGGAATTGCCAGCTCCCACTTGGCACATTTCCTGTCAAAGCCCTGCAAATCAATCTGCTCTAAAAGCTTAAGGAACAACCAACCAATTATTCACATTTATAAACATTTTGACAGTTTGAAAAACAACAGAGAAGGATTTTAAACCCAGCAACCGAAATGCAAAGTTACTGTACCCACCCAGCCATCCCTAAACTCACCAAATAACACTGGGACAAACCCCAAAGGCAACAGCAGAGAACCCACACCTGCTGTGCCACAGAACACCTGCAATCCAAGGCCTGAACAACCCAACCCAGGTCTCCATTAATGCTCAAACTGAAATCATTTGGCAGCCAGGTCAGAAGAACCAATATAGAGAAACTCTCTGAACTGGAGAGCTGAGATTTTGGGGCTCACAGGTTCTCCCAGCTCACCCTCCAAATCCAAACCAAACCCCCTCCCACCTTGTCTGAAATTGTTTCTGCCTGGGGCAGAATCCTTTCCCTCCCTCAGAAGAGGATTTTAGCCCAACTAGTGGCAAGGAGGTCTTTAAAAACCAGGTGAAACTATTTCATTGTCCTTATTTGAACCGTTTTTAACTCTGCATTCGGGGGCTCCTGAGAAGTGAAGTCCCAGCTGGCTGGAAATGTTGTGTTTTCCCCCAAAACCCGTCGGATTCAGAGCTCCCAGAGCATGGGAAGCCTTTCCAGGTTCAGTGGGGTTTTGGGGTCTCCTGGGAACGTTTTCCCTGCTCTCAGGGGGTTCAGCTGGAGAACCCTGGGGGCAGCCCAGGACTGAGGACAAACGACACATGACTCCAGTGGCAGCTGTTCCAGGTTCATCCTGGGCTTGGAAGAAGTTTCCCAAGGGGTTTTTGAAGTGGAAAACAGACAAACCTCTAATGGGAGAATCTGGGATCATTTGGTCACTGAGCTCCCACTGCCAGCTTTGGACTGGGAAATATCCAGTCACTCTCCCACTGTAAATTAGAATTAATGACCAATACAATGCAGTATTACCTGTCTCCCAGGAAAAACCACAGCTATCCACTTCCCTGTTCCCTGTCCCTCACCCTCAGGAGCTCAGACAAACACCAGAGCCATAAAAAGGATTACTCTGCCCCAACCTTGTTTCCAAACAGCACAGTTTAATTTTCAAAAAATGCTTAAAAGAGATTGAATTATTTTGCAGAAGGACAACCTGATTGGTTCCCTTGTCACACCAAAAATCCCCCTGGGAGTAAATCCCCCCCACCTGCTCCTGTGCTGCTGCAGGAACAAAGCCCACGGGCATTAAAGGCTTTGCTGCAGTGCATGTCCCTTTTCCAGGGATCATATTTGGGGTTTCTTTGACTTTTTTATTTTTTCACTAGGCCAACATCTTCTCTAAGTTTTTAAGAGCACATAAATACAATGTAATTTTTTCCCAACCATTTTTACTTCATCTATTTTAAAAACGAACCCATAAATTGACTTTTTTTTGATCTGTTATGCAAAAAACTGTTTCTTGAATCATTGAATGAGAACAAGGAAAGGAAAGCCAAACATCAGTAAATTTCTGACCGAATTTCTTCTCTAACAGAAAAAAAACCCACCCAAACCCCCACACAAATACCTCCTGAGCTGGCTCCTGTTGTGACTAATCTCTGACTGAGATTCTGCCCAAGAGATAATTTCATCAGAACCTTCCCGATCATTTGGTCACTCACAGGAACATTTAGTGCCTCAGTAAATAAATAATCAATAGACCTGTTTGAGGTTCACTATCTCAGGTATTTAAGGAAACAGCTTTGACCCTACTGGTGTTTATCCCTCTGCTATTAAGCACCACAAATAAACAGCAGCCAGGTCAGCTGGGTATGTTTAGTCAGGAAATATTTATAGCAGGAAAACCTGGATGCACAGCACATCCACACCTTCAGCCACAGAGCCCTGGAATGCTTTGGGTTGGGAAAGGACCTTAAAGATGATCCCATTCCACCCCTTGCCATGGGCAGGGACACCTTCCACTGGCCCAGGTTGCTCCAACCTGGCCTTGGACACTTCCAGGGATCCAGGGGCAGCCACAGCTTCTCTGGGCAACCTGGGCCAGGGCCTCCCCACCCTCCCAGCCAGCAATTCCTTCTCAATCTCCCATCTCTCCCTACCCTCTGGCAGTGGGAAGCCATTCCCTGTGTCCTGTCCCTCCATCCCTTGTCCACAGTCTCTCTACATGTTTCCTGTAGATCCTTCAGGTCCTGGAAGGCCACAATCAGGACACCCCAGAGCTTCTCCTCTCCAGGCTGAACAATCCCAGCTCTCCCAGCCTTTCACTAAATCCCTGCTAAACCAGTTGTTTTTCCATCCACTTTTCACACAGGACTAACATATCAGGTAGATTTCATTTTTTTTCAGGCTTCATTCCTGCTCGAGGCAGATGTCCCAGAGGCTGGAGGAACATCCCTTCCAGCTGCTCAGGTGATGGAATTTCTCCCACCCAGCAGAGTCAGGAATGGAGCCAGGACAGACCCAATCATAGGAAGATGCCTTGGTAGGTGTGCAGAAAATCAAACATTGCCTACAAATCCCTAAATTTCTTTAATTTTGCCCTTCTTCTGCAGTTTTAATTAATACTTTTTTTCTAAGAACAAGCCCTCTAGGAAAAAAAAGAAAGAATATAGTAGTCATCATGGCTCCCCATGGGGCTGGCCATGGGCTCTGTGCCAGAACCAGCTTTGGGAAAACCTTCCCTAATTCTTTTAAGATCCTGATGGGAACAACTTTATCTGTAACCCAGGAGCAGTGTGGGTGCCCACAGGCAGGAGCCACAGCAGGACAGTCCCCAGGGACAGGACTGTTCTCCTCCCTCCATCCCCTGTGACACACCCTGGGCACAGCTGGGTTTGGTTCTGGGCCCCCAGGACAAGGAATATTCTGGGACTGGAGCAAGTCCAGCAGAGGCAGCCAGAAGGGTCACAGGGCTGGAGCACGAGGAGGGAGGAGAGACAAGAGAGCTCTGTTCAGTCCTGCAGGGATCTGCTCCCCAGCTGTGCCAGGCTGGGAGCAGGGAACACAGAGCCTGCTCCATGGAGGGGTGTGGGGGCACCTGATGGGCACAGCAGCATGGAATACTGGAATGGTTTGGGTTGGAAGGGACCTCAAAGCCCATCCAGTGCCACCCCTGCCATGGGCAGGGACACCTTCCACTGGCCCAGGTTGCTCCAACCTGGACACTTCCTTGGATCCAGGGGCAGCCACAGCTTCTCTGGGCAACCCGGGCCAGGGCCTCCCCACCCTCCCAGCCAGCAATTCCTTCCCAATATCCCACCTAAATCTCCCCTTTTCCAGTGGGAAGCCATTCCCTGTGTCCTGTCCCTCCATCCCTTGTCCCCAGTCCCTCTCCAGCTCTCCTGGAGCCCCTTTAGGCTCTGGAAGGGGCTCTCAGCTCTCCCTGGAGCCTTCTCTTTTCCAGGCCAGCCCCTCCCCTTTGGTGAATTCCAGTGGGAAGACTGTCAGTGCCTTTCAGAGAAATCAAGGATTAATCCAACTTGCATCAAGAAGTCTCTGTGGGTGCTGACAGAGCAGATGAAGACCTGCTGCACATTCCCTTTCTGTGGGGCAGTTTTGGTGTCCCTGACCCTGGACAGTTGGGTTCAGACCCAAGAAAGCACCCAACAACTTGTGCAGTGCCAAACCTGGGTGTCAGTGTGATTCCAGGAGCTGCCTTTTCTCCCAGCCCTGCCAGGGCCCTGTTTTTCCCTAGAAGGATCCAGCAGGGTGGAGTGATGGTCCTGCAGTAACCTCTCATGTTCCAGGGAGGCATTTTGGGCACACCAGGAACATCCAGCCAGGAATCCTCCTCTCACTGATGAGAGAGCTCAGCGTCTCCACCTCAGGACAGCTCAGCCAAAGCTGGCTGGGAGTCAATCCAGATAATGCCTGGAACTCTCACTGTGGAGCAGCAGGAGAGGCTGAGGGAGCTGGGGGGGCTCAGCCTGGAGAAAAGGAGGCTCAGGGGGGACCTTCTAATTTCTGAACCATTTCTTTGCCTCCTGACTCTCTTCTCCTCTCTGCCCCTGACCTCTCCCTGAGCCCTCTCTCTCTGCAGCACATCCTTGACCCCAGCTGGAACAGGAACTCTCAGAGAAGTCAGGAATGTCACTGTTGTGTGAAGGAGCAGCTTATCTGAGCTCAGAAAGTCTATTTACAGCCTCCCTTTCATCCTCTTTCCTAGCAAGGAGTACAACTACAATGTTTCCATTCTCTTCCTCGATTAGTCCTGTTATTCAGGAAACTCTGGCAGCTCAGCAAAGCACGCTGACGACCTAAAAAACTTCCACACACTAAAAGGCAATATTTGGGGAACAGAGAAGAGCTCAAGTGGAGGAGACAATAGTGTGGGAACAACTGAAGTGTCCACCCACCTCCACACCCTTTTCCTTGGCTTTCATCCTGAAGGATATTTGCTATCCATACCAGTCAGCAAACAAAACTCCCATCTCCCAAATGGCTGTCATCCATGTTTGTTTGGCTGCTCTCCCCTCACCCCTTAATTCTTAGGAGTAATTAGGTTTTTGGTTAAAGCTTTCACAGAAAACAATCCAAAAATCCTCAAAACAATCCCCTTAGAACATGAACACATTCCTGCATCACTTTTGTGGGATGATTTTGATGTACCTACATGATACAGAGTTACTTCCAATCCTTATTACACTGGAATAGCTCTGATATCCCTCTTGGTGGCTTGGCTCCCTGGCATATATAGCTCTAGAATGTAATGTTATTCTGTAGTAAACTGATACTTGGATCCATTAAAAAAAAAAGACTGATATAAGGGTGGGGGTGTTTTCTCCTCTGTAGGGAAACACCAACTGTTTTGAAACCACTTCTGTGGCAAAGATTAGGAATCACAGAATACCAGGGGGAGACACTTTGGAACGAGATCAAACACACAGAATTCATTTCGCCATTTCCTTTTTTTTCTAAATTTTCATTATTTTTTAACTCCTCCAATCGTGCAGGTTCCCAGGCAGCCTTACCTGCTCCTGCCTCATGTGCTCCATCATTTCCATGGCACTGATGAAGTGGTGACAGGGCTCTGAGTGCCCCACCAGGGCCGTGGGGAAGGGCCGGCTCTGCCAGAGGCTCCACTCGCACAGGGACAGCTCCCGAGCCACCCCCTCCTGCTGCTGGGGGGGAAGGAAGGGGGAAGAGACTGGGATCAAGGCACTGTCCAGCAGAACTCATGTGCTTCCCATGTCAAGTGCTCTGTCAGCACTTGAAATGCAGAGAAGTATTTAAACATCATCACAAAGCTGTAAGTCTGGTTTAAAGTTAAAACTCCACGAGCAACCTGGGCTAGTGGGAGGTGTCCCTGCCCATGGCAGGGGGTGGGTGAGATGGGCTTTAAGGCCCCTTCCCACCCAAACCATCCTGGGACTCTATGAACACAGCATCCTGCAGAGACTTCTTAGGATATTTTTAATTTACAGACCCATTTCAAACATTCTTAACCTCAAAACCTACATGTCAATCTCAAAATAGCATTTTTAATACAGACCCCCTTCCAACTCAGAGTTACCTCTGTTATTTACAGTATCCTTTAGGCCTCATGCAAAGGAAATATTACATTAAAGTCAAACTCACTGGTATTTCTTCCAGGTTTTCTAAGGTTTCAAACTCAGTGCGAGGCAATACTGGTTCCTTTATCCCATCACTCTCCTTGATCCTGTAGAGTCTGTCCCATGTTTCATATTCCTCAGGTGACAGGGACCAGTTCTCATGAGAGAAACTTTGCTTCTGGCCTGTGGGAGGAAAAACAAGAGCAGGAAAATGTTACCTGCTTTGGGAAAAGGGATGCACAGAATAAAAGGACACCAGTGAACAGAACAAACACCTTCCCTGTGCCACGAGCAAAACCAGGAGCACAGGGTGGGACATCAGGGACACTCCAACAGTGTCCATGTGTTATATGGACAAAGCTGTCTGGTAAAGAATCACCCAAGGACACAGGGAGACAGACAGACAGACAGAAATCACTGCCCCAAATAATGCCACATCCCCCAAAACAGCCGTGGGTGGGGATGGCAAAGGAACCTCCACAGAAGCAGTGCTGAGCGTGGGGCTGCTGTCAGGGCACGTGTGTGAAGCCTGGAGAGGAATAATGAAGTTAATTTGCCAGGGTCTCTGCAGACAGGATTTGGGATGAATGTGCAGCCCAGGCTCTGCTGGGAATTAATTCCAGATAAGAGGAATCAGCCTGTGTCTCTCAATCCTCTCAAGTTACAGTTGCCAGAGTCTGTGTCTGCACAGGATGAGACTCAAGCGCAGATCCTGGAGAGTCCAGAGTCCTGCTCAGAAAAAGCTGGAAAAATGAACAAACACCAAAGTTTTTTAAAGCCATCACTAAAAGTCCCAGAAGATCCACACTGCTATGAAGTATTTTTTACTCCAGTGTAGGAGATGTTACACTCCTTTAAGATAACACCCAGTTCAAGGACCTAGGAGGAGAAAAGCAACAGGCCTGAAGGAAAACCAAATTAGGAACACTTTTCAGAGAAGTATAGAGAATCATGGAATGCCCTGAGCTGGAAGGGATCACAAGGACCATCTAGTCCAAGCCCTGGCCCTGCCCAGGACACCCCAACAATCCCCCCCATCCCTCAGAGCATTGTCCAAAACCTCCTGGAGCTCTGGCAGCCTTGGGGCTGTGCCCACTGCCCTGGGGAGCCTGTTCCTGGTGAATTGTTGCCATCCAGACACATCCAGGGAAACACTGGGAACAACAGATGACTTCAGCTCCCTGTGTTACAGCTCCAGCTCTGTGTGTCAAAGACAAGATGAGCCTGTGATACCATCAGCCCAGGTAACACATGCTGCAACACTACCAAGAAGGCCTCCAGGGGCTGGCAAAATTCAGGAACAGATGCTTCCCAAAGCTCTGGGCTTCCTGCTTCTGAGCAGAGTTAGGATTTTGGCTGTCAAGAACAGTCCTAGGCATTTTTCAGGAAAGAAAGAAAGGGACACAGACAGAAGAAGAACATTCCCATTCCGACTGAGACTGATAATGCTGTTTGGGTACATAGTTGGGAATTACCAAGTTCTGTGGCATTTAGTCCCTGGCAAAGCCTCTGACCCTCATTATCTTCCAGAACATTTTATGTTATGGATGCAATGTCCTACCAAACACAAACATATCACTCAATCATCCCTGTTATTGTCCTGGGTCTTCCCCAGAACCAAAACATTTTCATTCCCCTTGAACAGGGAGCAGAGCAAGAACCAGCCCAGAGGGGGACAAGCAGGTGGATTCAGCCTGTGGCCAGCAGGGAATTTGTCAGTTCTCAGAACCACAGAGTCACAGAATTCCTGAGGTTGGAAAAGCCCTCCCAGCCCATGGATCCCCCCTGTGCCCCATGCCCACCTTGTCCCCAGCCCAGAGCACTGAGTGCCACGGCCAGGCCTTCCTGGGACACCTCCAGGGCTGGGCACTCCAAACCTCCCTGGGCAGCCCCTGACAAGGCCTCACCACCCTTTCCAGGGAGCCTTTCCACCTTTGGAACCTCAATCCTGGTCACCTTTAGCAAATCAACTCACCCCTGGCCACCTTTGGTGCCCCTCACCATCCCCCCCATGTGCCTCACCTGGTTGCCACAACAGGAACGTGGCAGCCCCAGCCCTGCTGTGCTGCTCCCTGGGCAGGAACACGCTCAGCATCACCATCTGTGTGCCCTCACTGCCTCACTGCTCTGTTCTAAAACACAACTACAAACACTCTGAAATTATTATTTTCATTCCATGTTGTGCTCTGCTTATTTCCTTCCAGCTGTGTCCATTTAATCAGGTACTGGAATATGAAGTTTCCCAAAGCTTTAAGGAGTTGCTGTTGGTCTTTACAGAAAGCACTAACAAGCACTACAGAAAGCACAACAACTGCCAAGTATTTATAAAAAAGTAGGTTTTTTCTCCTGTCTTATAACCATGTTCACTTTCCTGAGCATTTCAGTGCCATGTAACTGCACCAGCTAAAGAGTCATTCCTCCTTTTAGATTAATTTTCCTCCAAGGGTGTTCACAATTCATGAACACCCTACCCTTGATTTCTCCTTTTCCTCCCTTTGCAATCCTCCTGATTTCAAGCATTGCTGTGTTATTGTCATTTATGAAGCCATAACGCCCAGAGAAGCTGTGGTTGCCCCTGGATCCCTGGAAGTGTCCAAGGCCAGGCTGGATGGGGCTTAGAGCAGTGGGCTGGTGGAAGGTGTCCCTGCCCAACCCAAATTATTCTGGGATTCTTTGATTAACATTTGCCTCTTCTGTTCACAGCTGGAGCCCCTGACCTGCAGTCAGAGATTCCATGGAGTCAGTGAACCAAATGCCTGACTCAGGGTAGGGATATTTCAGGCCAGAGCTGTGGGATGTCCAAGGAAAGGCTGAGGACCAGGCAGCAGTGGTAGCACAGTGTCCCAGGTGCCAGGAGTGGCCCTGCAGAGCCCAGAGCCCTGTGAGAGGTGGGTGGGATGTGCTGTGACACAAACACCCCGGGGCAGCTTACACGGCGCTTAGAGCAGCACCATAATCCTCTTACCAGTGACACAGGAAAAGGGAGCAGATTTGTGCTGCAGGGAACTGCATCTTCTCTCCTTGCAGAGCCCTCTGGAGTTGCCTGGCTCGTATTTCTCAGCAGTGATAAACATTTTATGCACCCGGGGGTTGATGCCTTCTGGAACCATCCGTGGGCTGCGCTGGTAGAAACGCAGGGTTTTGTTCCCTGAAATGGCTTTGTGGATGCTCCTCTTGTTACACTGGCTCTGGTTGTAAGTCTGGAAGGAGAAGATAAAGACAGAAACCATGTGTTGACCGCTTGTTTTGTCACAGGACTTGATCAAAACTCAAAGAGCACCTGAGTGTCTGCGGGGTTTCTCGTTATTTTCTGTTCCCTCCTCGAGGTGGTTTTTGGTTTGGGGTTTTTAGCCAGAGCAGGAGCAGGCACAGCACTGGGGAGAAAAAGGAGCACAGCCCTGGGCTGGGGGAGGTTCCAATGTGCCATTGATACAGGGGTGATGGAAATGAGATTACATCAGAAACTGAGAAAGGAGGCCAAGCAGAAGAAAGGTAGAAGATGATTTGCTGATGTCATACATGATCTGAGTCCTTTAATTACACCCCACTTTATTGTGCAACAGAGAAACCAAGACAAGGCTGGAGAAGGCAAGGGAAGAAAGCAGTGACTCTGAGACTGTCCTGTGCTCTCCTCTGGGTCCCTGGGACAGGCCACTGCTGGGGACCAATGCCCTGAGTGGGACAGTGTGGCAGCTACAACCTGGCAGAGATCTCTGGGGGCAGGACCAGAGGAGACAACCCAAAGCCAAGCCCTCTGAACACACCAACAGCCAGCTCTGATGAACAGCCCCCTCTGATGAACAGCCCCTCAGGCACTCCAGCAAACAGCCTTTTCATCCTAGGGCATCTCAGGAAATCCTGGGACAATCCTAGAAAGAAAAGGTCTTTTTATGGCAAAAAAATCGTGCTAGCAAATTCCTTCAGAGCACTGTCACCGTGCTGCTGTTCCCCTTCCCTGCTCCCAGGGGCAGCTCCGAGCTCTGCACCCCATCCCAGCAGCTCCAAGTCCAGCCAGGCTGAGCTGCTGTCCCAGGACACCAGGAAACCCCAATCCAAGCCCATTCCATCCCAGTTCAGGGCCCAGGACACATGTGATGTGACGGCTGACCCGGGAAACACGTGGGAGCTGAGGAATAAACACAGGGATCCCTGCCAGCCTCCCACTGCCAGGCCTCCACAAACACCCTGCTCTTCAAAAGCTGGGTAATGGAATTCAACTGGTTTGACAACAAAAACCAACAAACTAAACCAAGCAAAAAAAACCCAAACCCAAGCAAACAAACAAAAAAAAAAACCAAAACACAAATAAACAAAAAAAGCGCCCACAAATCCCCAACATTCCTACAAATTATGAGGGGCCATAACATGACCATTCATTATTCAGCTGCAAGTTATGTGATGGGAAAGAATCTCCACATTAACAGAACTGGAAGGAGACTCAACCTTAAAAAATCCAACAACTACCCCAAAAAACACCCCCCAGCAAAACCAACAAACAAACCAAACCAACATTGTTCAGCAATTAAATTTATTTCCTGATCTCAAAATAAAAACATTATCTACAATTACTGTTCTACCTGGGGAAGGTTCTGCTGCAGAGGTTTCTGAGAAAATCTGGAGAACACAGTAATCCAGCTACTTAAGTGAAGCTCCAAGGAATTTAAAGGACTATTCTATATCCCATTACAGAGCTCTCAGTAGTATCCAGCCTGCATAAGTAGCATGAGAAAACATCTATTCACAAACACCACCCAGGTTTATCATTTTTAACCCTCATCTCTTCAAAGCTGCTTTTTTCCCCCTCAGGCAGCACCCTCTGCAGTCTCATTTAGAATTAAATCCCTGCCACCTACAAATACAAACCAGAGCAACAACATCGACTGGAATACATGAAATAACACCAAGACTCAGAAATGTCGGGTTTACAGTTGGTTTACACAGATCTTGCACTTAGGAGTCTGCATCCTCTCTCACCAGAGAGGTGGCAGCAGGGGCTGCCTGGCCTGGCCTGCCCAAATCCTGCCCTTTCCCACCCCTTGGCTGAGCCCAGGCTCTGCAGGGCCGTGGGATGCAGCTGGCACAGCTGCTGGGGGGCTCCCTGGCTCCCAGCTGGGGTTTGCCGTGTCCCATGGCATTCCCAAGGGACAGCCTGTACTCAGGGATGATTAACCACGCTCCAGCTGAGTGCTGAGCTTCAGGAACTCGGCCAAAGTGGATTTCCCCTAAGCTGATCTGCTCAGACCTCACACGCAAGAGCAGCCACTGAGCACTGCTCTGAGCTCACAGTGTCGTCACCAGGTCAGAACCAGTGCTCCCAGTGCTCCCAGTGCTCCCAGTGCCAGCATCTGATGACATGACAGGCTGGGAGAGCTGGGGGGGGTCCCCTGGAGAAGAGAAGGCTCCAGGGAGAGCTGAGAGCCCCTTGCAGGGCCTAAAGGGGCTCCAGGAGAGCTGGAGAGGGACTGGGGACAAGGGATGGAGGGACAGGACACAGGGAATGGTTTTAAGCTAGAAAAGAGTAGATTTAGGTGGGAAATTGGGAAGCAATTCCTGACTGGGAGGGCGGGGAGGCCCTGGCCCAGGCTGCCCAGAGAAGCTGTGGCTGCCCCTGGATCCCTGGAAGTGTCCAAGGCCAGGTTGGAGCAGCCTGGGCTGGTGGAAGGTGACCCTGCCCATGGCAGGGGGTGGAATTGGATGAGCTTTAAGGTCCCTTCCAACCTAAAGCAGTCTGGGATTCTGTGACAGTTTCCCAGGACAAACTGAACAAGAAGACTGAGGGCAGAGCTCAGGGGTCTGCAGCTCGTCCCGAGGGGCAGCTCTGATCTCTGCTTCCTGTGAGCAGGGACAGGACCCAGGGAATGGTTGGAGCTGTGCCAGGGCAGGGTCAGGTTGGATCTCAGGACAAGGTTCTTCCTCCAGAGGGTGGTTGGCACTGCCCAGGCTCCCCAGGGCAGTGGGCACGGCCCCAAGGCTGCCAGAGCTCCAGGAGGGTTTGGACAAGGCTCTGAGGGACAGGGGGGATTGCTGGGGTGTTCTGGGCAGGGCCAGGGGTCGGTCCCTCCCAGCTCAGGCCCCCCCAGGCCCCACTCACCCTCTCCTCTCGGCCCTGGGCCAGGATGACGACGATGCGGCCGTGGCGGCGCCGCCCGGTCCGGCCCATGCGCTGCACCAGGCGCACGGGGCTGCGCTGGGCGTCGAAGCAGACGATGAGATCCACCTCCCCGATGTCCAGGCCCTCCTCCCCCACGCACGTGGACACCAGGGTGTTGTACCCGCCCTCCCGGAACCGCCTCACCACCTGCAGGGAGAACTCAAATCAGATTCACCAGGGCAGCACAACGGCCCTGCGGCTTTTCTACGCTGGAAAAATTAATTTAACACCTTCAAACGACAAAACTTAGTCTTTCTAAATCAACTACTACCCCTTGATCAAATCCCACCCACCAACGTGACCAACATCAGCACTTCAACTGTTCAATTCTAAAACAAAGGAAAAAAAGCACACCTTACTCTGACTCCAGCCATGGCATTCTTCTAAAACTGATCTTCCCAACTGTGCAATTAAATATCTTTGGGGTTGTCTTTTTTTTTTTTTTTTAACTTTGCTAGGTCAAAATTTAAGGACAGATCTTATCTTTCCTGCCTACAAGAAAAAAGAATTCCCTAAGCACATGTTTGACTATTCCCCCGGATTTTTAATACATGTGAGTCAAGAGTTGTAAATACACAAATAAATAGAATGCAAATATATATATAGTATATATATACACTATATAAATATGTATATAAATAGTTTGTATTTACATATTCTGCTCAGTGAGTATAATTTTGGATACTCTGACAGGCACTGGACTCCACCAATGACAGTAAAAGTTCAGCTGTTTCCACACAGTGTGTACTCCTGGAGTTGTGCACACAATCAATGCTTTTTTAATCACTATTTCGTGGTACAGTCTCCTCCTTTCTGTACCTCCAGCTGTTCCTTCTGGGTGAAGCCCTTGGTGCTCTTCCCTGTGGAGTGTCCCACGAATGTCATGGCGCGGACAGCCGGGCTGAGGCGGGACAGCATCTCCGCGATCTCCTGCACACTGTCCCGGAAGGAGGAGAAGATCATCACCCTGGTGTCCCCACAGGGGCCTTCACTCCCCTCCTGATCTGCTGGATCGGAAGAAGAAGCAGGATTTTAGCAGAATTAGTAACGCAAAAGGACAGGGCATCAGACGAGTTACACGTTCCCAGCTCCCATCTCACTCCATGGGAAAACGGATGGAAAACGCTCCAAGATACATCTCCCAGAAAAATTCCCTTTGGAATCAAAGCAGTGCTCTAATTTTGGGGAACTGACACCAACTACAGTAAGACTGTCCTACATCTGAGGTACCATCACTAAGGTTACTTGGGAAAGCTCAGGTTGGAGGGCAAGTGTGTTGGAATGAAGTTCAAGATTCCCTGTTCTTCTGGCCAGGCACTGGAACAGGCTGCCCGGGGAAGGCTGGAATCACCACCCCTGGAAGGGTTCAAAAGGCCTGTGGATGGGGCACTTGGGGACATGTAATTCTTGGCCTCAGGCTGGATATCACAACTTCTATCCTCAAGCTCCTTAAATATGCTCATCCTAACTCTGCAGGAGGCAACGGCAGCAGAGCCCTGAGGGAAGGGTCCAGAACAAACCCTGGGAGCAGGGCAAGCAGGAGACAGGGAAACACCAGGAGAGAGTTTGCTATCTCTGTTTTACTCAGCTGTTGGAGCATTTTACATCAAATTAACAATGAGAACTCCTAGAACATTTTATCTTACAGAAATCTTATGGTAAAGTCCTTCTAGAGAGGGCTTGTCCACACAGAGGATACACAAACACACAAATTAGCACAAATCAGGAGATGAATCAGCAGGACATTACTTGTTTCCACCCCCAGGTTCAACTGGTGGGGTACTTTTTGAGTTGTTGGTACTTACCAGAGCATCCCTTTTTCCAGGATTTGAAGTGTTCTATTACGATTTCCTCCAATTTCCTTAATTTTGGATGGCTGTAGACAAATTCCTTTTTCTTTCCCAACACTGGAAAGGCAATAAAGCAGTGAAAGACATCAGTAAACCTGCAATAAGCATGAAGGTTTAGTGAACTTCATTTCCTCCCACTGTAACTATCCGAGTCAGACACCCAAATTCCTGACACTAATTCTAATTGCATCAACCCACAGTAATTAATGAACTAGTGACAGAAGCACATTTGTAAAGCCCAGGTTTCTGAGAAAGTGCTGTTACTTTTGTTACAGTCACACTGGAAAAGACATGGAGTCAAACAGTAATATTATAACCTTCATTTTAAATCAAATTAAAACCTTCAAACACAGACAACTGGTTTGGAAGTAGCTAAAACCACCAAGGGAAGAGAGAGAGGGAGTGAGAGAGGGAGGGGACTGTTGGGAAGACAATCTGGAGTGAAGAAGAGCAGCCAAGTGCAGCACAAGTTTTAAACAGGATTAACTGTGTCCCCGAGAGGGAAGCCCTGACCTGTGTCACTCCTCCAGACACCTGCAGTCTCTGGAGCCACGGCTGTGTCTGAGAACATGGCCCGGAGGTGCTGGTAGAGCTTCAGGAAGTCCTCGTTACGCCCCAGCTCGTTCTTCGTGCGGGTCAACCCTTTGGGAAGAGTTGGAATACCTCAGGATTCAGTTTGCTTTCCCAAATGTACTCTAACACTGCTAATATATTTCCAGCTGGAATGAAGGGAATAAAGCACCGATTCCATTTGCAACCCACTTACAGGTTGCCATACAGATGAGGTAAATGAAATGGAGGGGGTGGAATGAAAGGAAGGATGTCCCTGAGGACATTTCACCTTTGGCTCCATCCATAATTCCCCAAAGGTAGATGAACAAGGAGCGGACTCCCATCTGCAGCAGCAGCTCATACCCGTGGTATAAACTGATACAAAGGGCAAAGTCCCCTTCGATGATGCCTTGGTGGATTCCCTGTGGAACAAAACAGACTCATCACTGAACCAGGAAGTGACTGAGGAGCAGGAATCACACTGCATCTCCTGACCAGAACCAGGCTGGGGTCTGGGAAGCAGAGCCAAAGCCCCAGCTGATGCCCAGGGAGCAGTCTGTCTATCCCAGCCCTCAGGGAACAGATTTTACACAGAGCAGTGGAGGCAATCCTTTTCCACCTCCAAAATACCTGTATTATCCTCCAGGATTAACTCATCTCCCCTCAGCCTCTGACAGCTGAACCACCCACCCATCTGGATGTGGCAAAACAAGGGACTTCTGGCACATCTACCCAGGCTATGAAATGAAGGCAGGAAAGTTGCCTTGCTTACTGTGAAAGAGATTTCCCAATGTTCTTTCTAAGGTACACAGTGGTTTTTTAGGCAATGTTCTTTAAGATTACAAAATTTGACCACACCCTGACAAGTTACAGAAAAATAGGAGCAGGAATGTAGCTTTGGGGGGAAAGTGTGAACTTTGCTGTAAGTACAATCTAAGTCCTCAAAACAATTTCACTTTGGAAATGGAGTCCTTAATCTTTTCCTTAACTTTTCTATATTGGCATCAAGAAACATGGAACAGTTAAGTATATTTTGCAGATTTCATAGATGATCTTTAAGGTCCCTTCCAACCCAACCCGTGCTATGATTCTATGATAATTTATTCCAGGGCTAAAACCAGAAATCTACTTAAAATGTCTCAGGAAATTTGGTACTTATGGATAATTACTATTTACCCCCTACTTTAACGATACAAAATCAATAAAAGACACTTACCACATGCTGTGGAGAGGGGTTTTTCCTATACTGATCCCTTGCCAGGATGATCTGGTACTTGGTGAGGCTGGGAATGTCCCTCCTGGCCAGAACTCCCATTCGGATCAGGCGGCCGGCGAACGCCTCGAGCACCTGCAACCCCAACACAGCCCCTTGAACCTGCTGCCCTGAGGATCTGTGCCTCCACTGCACACACAGACACCTCCTGCCTCCAGGAGAACCCTGTATCCACCCTGTAACTGGGACGGGGAAACACCCTGAGAGCTGCAAGGGCACAGAGAGGGAAGGGAACGGGATGGACAGCCAGGCCTGGAGCTCAGGCTGCAGCTCCTTCTCTCACTGCCCACATCAACTTCAGGGGCAGTTTGGGCACAGAACATTAGTGTTTCTCTTCCACAAGGCCAAATTAGGTGAAGGGCTGGCCAGGAGGTCAGACACTGTGTGTGGGAGGGATGGGAGATGTGAGCCCAGAGGAACGAGCACCAGCAGCAGGTCCCGTTTCCTCTGGAATCCACCCCAAAACACACTTAGTTTTCACCCATCACATGTACCTGCTTTCCACATCGGTGCGACAAGCAGAATAACCTGCACTAATGCATCCTAATCCTGTTTTTCCTCTTTGTTTGCCAGCCTTAGGTGGTCAGGATTTTTGCACAGACTTAGTTTTGCATGAGCGCTAACTCAGCCGTAATCGCAGTAATCAGATTTGTCCCACAAACGCTGTTTACAACCTGTTGGTCCCTTGGCCAACGGCCCCAAAAACATCTCAGGGCACAACAACAGGCTCTCCAAAGGCAGTTCCCTGTGCCTGCATCCATGCACAACGTGTTTCCCGAGTTTTCCAGCCACTCCAGCACCAGCACAGCTGCCCTGCACTAAGAAGGTTCTGATCCCTTTAGTGTCCCTTCAGCCCCCTGAAAATCATCCAACTAAACCAATAAAACCAGGCCTAAGTCAGGCCTCCAACACTGATCCAGGCACACCTGGAGCTTGTGAGGAGAGACTCAAACCAGAATCCCAGAATGGTTTGGGTTGGAAGGGACCTTAAAGCTCCTCTCGTTCCAATCACCTGCCATGGGCAGAGAGACCTTCACAGAATCATGGAATACCCTGAGCTGGAAGGGACCCCAAGGACCACCCAGCCCAACCCCTGGCCCTGCCCAGGACACCCCAACAATCCCCCCCTGTGTCCCAGAGGATCATCCAAACCCTCCTGGAGCTCTGGCAGCCTTGGGGCCGTGCCCACTGCCCTGGGGAGCCTGGGCAGTGCCAACCACCCTCTGGGGGAAGAACCTTGTCCTGAGATCCAACCTGACCCTGCCCTGGCACAGCTCCAGCCATTCCCTGGGTGCTGTCCCTGCTCACACAGAGATCACTGCCTCCCACTACCCCAGGCTCCTCCAAGCCCCGTCCAACCTGGCCTTGGACACTTCCAGGGATCCAGGGGCAGCCACGGCTTCTCTGAACAACCTGTGCCAGGACCTCCCCACCCTCACAGTAACCAATTTCTTCCCAATATCTAATCTAAACATAATCTAAAATCCCAGGAAAAGGAGTGGGAATAATTGCCAGCATCAACAACAGCTGCATTAATCCCCCAAGGAATCAGAAATGCAGGAGAACTTTGGAAGGGTGATGGAAAACTTGTTCCAGCAGCAGCAGCTGACCTGGGGAGTACCCACCGTGCTGGGGAATTTCCACCCTGCCCACTCCATGCCATGGGTCCTTCCCAACCAGCACTCTGGAGCCAGCAGGATAAGCTGCTTACAGCAGATAAGGGCTGCTGATAAAAGGAAATCATGGAAATGGAGCCAGAATTCTCAGTGTTTTGGTGCATCTCAGGTTGCTCCTCTTTCCCCTGAGGGTGGGGAGGCCCTGGCCCAGGTTATCCAGAGAAGCTGTGGCTGCCCCTGGATCCCTGGGAGTGTCCAAGGCCAGGCTGGAGCAGCCTGGGCTGGTGGAAGGTGTCCCTGCCCATGGCAGGGGTGGCACTGGGTGGGCTCTAAGGTCCCTTCCCACCCAAACCATTCCATGGCTTTACTCTGGCCTTGGCACAGCTCCCCCCTGCCCATTCCATGGCTCCTGGGCAGTTGGACTCAGACCAGCTGCGGGCACCAAACCCCCACCTGAGGCCAAAGGGCTCCCAGGCACTTCCCAATCCCATGTCCAGGTTCTCCTGTATCCCCAGGGAACCTCGGCCATGGCCTCCCACAGCTCCCAGGGAAAGCAAAGCAAGACACACCATCCCGAGGCATTCCTTCTAATTGAGGCTAATGGATTAATTAGACCAAATAAACCACTAACACCAACAACAGGCAAACACCAACTGGAAGCTACAGCAGTGCCAGGAATTTCTGAAGGAAAGGGGAAAAAAACCAAAGAAATCAAATGATGTTTTCTTAAAATACAGTCAGAACCATCCACCGAGGCACAGGGAAGGCTCAGTGCACAGGGGTCTCTTCTCATATTAATGAGAACAAAACTAAAGACATGGTTTGGTTCTAATAGTTTAAAACTCAGAACTTTGTGTTTACCAAAGAGTCTGTTATTGTTCTGTTGTTTTTTGAGCCAGGCTGTACCTGACAGTCCCTTTAAAAGGACAGAGGCAGAAATGTCTGTGCCAGCTTATAGAAAAAGACATTTATAAAATAAACAGAAATGTTGACCATGGAAGGAATAACTCAGTGCTTTTTACTTGAGTGGATACCCCTGGAACAGCTCATTATCCTTCCATCGAACCCTGAACAGCTGGACATGAGGACACTTGAAATGCTGAGATGAAGCTTAAACTATGTCTGAAGTAGTGGAAATGGAGTCAGTCTGAACACAAATGGTCCTCTAGAAAAGCAATTAATGGTTTCATTAAAGAGTAATGCCCACTAAGTATAATATTTCAGCTCTGGTTTGTTATTTCCTACACTTGTTGCAGAGCTGTTTTCCGAACAGACATTTTCATTACAGGTACTTTTGTGTTTTATCCCTTGACCCAGTTAAAAGGTATAAGAAAATGATATTGTCCCTGTTTGCTCAATGTACACCCCTGTCTGATTTAATCACCTTCTGCAAAACAAACCCATGCTGACTGTTATGAAAGACAGCGGGATCCAGTCACCTGGAGCTTCAAAACTCCCCGGGAACAGTAAACATAACCTACTTAGGAGAGACACAGGAACAGGCTCTGCTCACTCACTGCACTTATCTTGCCTCCGTACCTTCATTTTTAATTACAAAGATAATACTTCTGAAAAAGTCCCCTCAACCTTTCCAAAACATCACAGTGTCATGTTCCCCGTTCCACAAACACATTGCAGAATTAATTCCAATCAGTGGCTCGGGAGGACTCGTGGTTTTCTGCAGCTCCCTCAGTGGAGGCCGGGGCTGACAGATTTACAGCCAGCACATCACACACGACTGGCTGAGTTATCCCACCCTGCACTCAACTTGCCAAGGACACAAAGACATTTCTGTTCTGAGCTATCTCCCACAGCAAACCACAAGTTCTTGGAGCTTGTACCCGAGATGAGCTTAGAACCTGTTTTTGGAGCTGAGGACTTGTGTTACCAAAGAACTGTTACTGTGCCAGCTACACCTCACTGAAAACTGCTTTTAATCTGTTTTCTGTTGGCACAATAAAAACCAAAGGCTCTAAACTAATGCCCTGGCCTAATTATTTTATTGCAGATTTGAAGGGTTCTTTACCAGAGAAAACACATAAGAAGCTGGGTTTGTAGCACTTCTTTCCCAGTAGAGAAGGAGGGCTGGGAGAAACCAGCTGCTACGGAGGTTGTACCTTCCCAGACCGAGGACTCCAAGGGTTTCCAGCACTCCCAGGCTTCACTGACAGACCTGGCTGGGGTTTAAAAATCCTTCTGGTCTTAAATAGAGCTGCCCCTCCCTTCAGCCCCTTCCCCTGCACTCCCAACTCCCACAGCTCCAGCATTTTCAATGCCCAGCACAGAATCCCAGACTGGTTTGGGTTGGCAGGGACCTCAAAGCCCATCCAGTGCCACCCCTGCCGTGGGCAGGGACACCTTCCACCAGCCCAGGTTGCTCCAACCTGGCCTTGGACACTTCCCCAGACCCTTCCCAGCACGCTGGGGCAGGTGCTGAACTGGTGTGAAGGAAATGAGCCCACACTGGGTGTCCATGAGGTCCCATCACCCCCCAGCTCTGTGGGAATGTCCACATGCCCCCAACACTCTGCTCTGCCTTAGTGGGATCACTCAGCCCAGGAGCAGGGAAGTAACACAAGCAGCTCCAGAACAAATCCAGAGCTCAGTTTTAGTTCCTCTCCCTGTAAAACTTCAGTTGTGACAACCAAACTGAGGGAGAAAAGTGCTATTTTGTTCAAGCTTCCTCCTGACATTTCTCACCTTGCCAGGAAGGAAGGGAAAACAACAGGGACACAGCAGGACAGGGTGTTTTTAAGCTGATCTTGTTCTCCAAACCCAATACTGATCAGCCCAGTAATGATCTTGGCACTGCTCAAAGTTTTGGGCTAAGTTCCCATTAACTGGTTCAGACCCTCCACAGTGTCCCAGGGATGTGTCACACCCTGAGCACACACTGTTCTTCCCTGGGAGCCGGGATCCATCAAAAACATCCAATACTTTGTCCTCTTCCACCATCTGACTTTTCTGCTGGTACAGCAGTTTTCAGTTCTTAAAGGTTATAAAACAAGAAGATCTACTTTTCAACCAATTTCTCAAAGAACAATTTTACCCTGTCACTTAAGAAGTTATAAGAAAAAAATGGCTTTTCTACATCAACCTGCCACTCGGGGAGAGTGGCTGTCAGCCCTGTGCCACGGGACAGAAAGGAGCATCCCACTGAGGATGTTTCAAATCCGTAGTTTTTAAGGCTGAATATCAGTTTTTCTGTTCTATTCAGAGGTGTAACTGCCAGGAATGCACAGAGAACACAGCACTACCAAACCCATTACCTCAAGAGTGGCTGTTTATTAGCCAGCAGTCATACACAGAATTAACAACTTCGGGGACAAAACAGCAAATACAGCAAAAATCAGCTTTGCTCATCTCTAGTAACAATGAGTTACTCTGTTATCTGGGCAGTGTCCAGACACAGACCATGACACTTCTTCAGTACCCTATCAAATGCAGTAATTACTAACTCATCAAAACCAAAGACAAACTGATTACAGAGATCTTTAAAACAGAATTTCAAACTCCTCCCAGCCTCTTTTCTCATAGTCAGTGTTCTGTGGCATGTCTCACATATAGGGAAATTTACCTGTGATTTTAAACAATTTTTCAGGTTATTTTCTCATTTTCTTTTCTCTCATCTCCAGCAATGATGATTAACAATCCTCTAAACAGAAATAACTTCGCTTAAGCAACTAATTTTCATTATAACTTGAACAAAGGAGTTGGGACTGTTTTCCCTGAGAAAGTGCTGGAATTACTTAGGCAGGACAGGCAGAGGAAAAACCTCCACACGTTGCCTCAAACAGTGCTGTCTTCTCAGGAAAAACAGTTTCCTGGAAAAAAAACCTCCAAGAGCCAGAATGTCCTCACTTGTTAGGAACAACCCAGCTTCCAGAATTCTGTGGAAAACTCCTTACCCACAGCACTGCAGCTGTGTGAGGTGGAGTTACCTGTGGATGGATGGATGGATGGATGGATCCCACTGTGCCTCTCCTGGGGGTCCCTGCCCACAGCAGCTGCTCCCCACTGGAAGCTCAGCTGGATGTGAGAGGAGAACCTGGGCACTGCCACAAACCCCCTCCAGCACACGGTCAGTGAGCCCTGTGCTCTGCACTGAGCCCTGTGCTCTGCACTGAGCCCTGTGCTCTGCACTGAACCCTGTGCTCTGCACTGAGCCCTGTGCTCTGCACTGAACCCTGTGCTCTGCACTGAGCCCTGTGCTCTGCACTGAGCCCTGTGCTCTGCACTGAACCCTGTGCTCTGCACTGAACCCTGTGCTCTGCACTGAACCCTGTGCTCTGCACTGAGCCCTGTGCTCTGCACTGACCGTGAAATCACATCAGCTCACAGCCAGACAGACAAGCACCACATCCAACCCTCCTCAAGGATTTGCCTTCCCAGGGATTTCAGCTCTGTGAGGCTGATTCACTGCCCACAACCAAGAGACCAAACCCCCCCCCCGGTGGGGTTGAGCTTCACTCACTGCCACCACTGCTCTGAAAAAACCCTCTCCCAGGATGTTCCCACCCACAGCTGCTCCTCCCTTTGCAAATTCCCAAAGGAGAACTCCATAGGAACGGCAGGACTGTGGTCTGTGCTGTCAGGAGCACAGTCAGGACTTGCAGTCTGAGCTTCTGAAGCAATTCACAGTTCATTGTAACAGCAAGCTCAGCCCCCAGGCTGGGGTAACGCTACTGACCAGCTACTGACCAGAAACGGGGGGAAAAAGGAGGGGGCAGATTAAGCATCACATCAGAGTCAGCAGTCCCACCCCCACAGACCCATCCCTAACCTCTGGCTTTTCCTGTAGGGAAACAGAGCACGGGAGAGGACTGTTTCCTACTGTTCTAAAACTCTAAATGCCCCGAGATTCCCCTTCCCTGCCTGCACACAAAGGGCCACAAGGCTCCTTTCACCTTCAATTTGGAATGAAAGGCAACTCCACCCAGAGCCACGTGCTGCACACAGCCCCCCGACTGACACCCAGCTCCTGCCTCAATTGCCACAACCACCCCAGGGCGGGGCTGCTCACCCCCCTCGTTGTGCAGCTGAAAACTTCCGGAGCTGGACTTCGGTAACAAAATATCCCGTGGCTTTTGCACTCCTAACTGGAATGAGTCTGGAATCATTTTATTCAGTTCAGAGACCTCCTGAACAAAACGAGAGATGTGTCTTTAAAGCGCGGTTTGAAAGCAGTAAAATCAAATCACGACACAGGAGGACAAACGGCACACGGAGAGCAGTGGGGAGAATAAATGATGAAGAGAATAGCTGGGAAAGAGGGAATGAGTGAAAAAACACACACGACACAAACTTCTTTAAGTTCTGCACTGCTCAGACCGTACAGCACGTGGTGGGAGAAGCTATAGAGCCGCAGGGCCGCCGAGGAAAGCGGCCGTGTGCAGGGAGCGGGTGTCCACCCCTCATCCATGTGTCTGTTCTCCATCCATCCACCCCTCATC